GGCTGGGCCCGTGAGCCATGGCCGCTGAGCCCGTGCATCCGGAGCCTGTGCTCCACAATGGGAGAGGCCACAACAGTGAGAGGCCCATGTAAAAAACTTATCTTTGTGGTTATACTTCTTTTATAAAGAAAATTTTAACTTCTCAATCATCTGATATATAGTTAATTTTCCATTTATTCTTAGTTTTTGGAGGTTGCTTTGTTTTTTTCCTTTTTGTTTGATTTGTAAATTAATGTAAAACATGTATATAGTTCCAAACTCAAAACTGTGAAACAAGTACATTGAGAAAGAGCTTGCTTGCATATTGGTTCCCACATCCAATTCTCCACTTCCTTAGTAACTAACAATTTTTATTAGTTTTTAGTTTATTCTTCCATTATTTCTTTTAGAGAATATTAGCAAATATGTGTTTGTATTTTTCCCACTTCTTCCACAAAAGGGAGCATATACTCCCTGTTCTGCACCTTATTTATTCACCTAAAATTGCATATTTTTGTAGTCTACCTTAGGAACATATCCCTTGACATAGGATTGCTAGGTCAAAGTGTAAATCCATATAAAATTTTATTGGTTATTGCCAAGTTCCCTTCAATAGAGTTGTATCATTTTGAAAATAAGAGTTCCCTTGTCTCGGACCTACTGAATTAGACTCTGAGCTTTAGGTTCCCAGGTGATTTGGATGGTGGCCCTGGCTTTTGGAATCTTGTTCTGAAGGAAATTTTAAAGCCCAACATGAAATTAAATCCAATCAATTGCTCACTTGATATGTGCTATGTATTATGCTTGGCACTAGTGAGAGAAATTCTAAGATGAACATAATATAGTCTCCCTTGGAGGATCTCATAACCTAGATAGTGGAGAAGAAACATTTATATAGAAATCATTGTAACATCATGGGATTGCTGGTATAATGGAGGTGTATACATGGTACTAAGGAAACAAAAGTGCTGGCACAAAAACTCTGTCTATGAGAATTGTACCTGGTATAGATTGGGATATACTGCTCTTAGAAAAAGCAGAAGTATGTATATGTATGTAAAAAGCAGAAGTATGTAATAAACTGTTTATAAAACTAATTTAATGGATTCTTCTTGAGAATAAATAAACATGAGTTTAACTCTGAATTTATCTCATTTGTACTTGCTTCTTTGCTGGTTTATTCTTTGACATAGCTTTCAATTTTCAAGTTGAAACTACCATGGACCTCTATAAAGATTTTTGAACCTAAGGTGATAACAGCATGCAGAGTCCTAACATAGTGACATTTTCAGTGTGAAAACACTACCATAATTATGAGCATATTGTGGTCTGCATAAAATAATGTTACTCATGTAGTTGACAGGAGATAAGATAAAAGACAATAAAAAGAGAATTATTTATTAAAAAGATCTAATGTTACAAGAACAGTACACAGAACTATTATCTGACTGTGCCTTCCACATGGTATATACCATTATATATAGTATATATACAGACTGCATACAATATATTTAACGGTTTGACATGGGGTCCACAGTACCTTCATTTGGGTATGCAAGGCATTCAATTTCATGAAATTTTTAATTATGAGGAGTCTTTTTCTTCAGAGTTCAACTGACGTTATATAAAACTACAGTCTGTTTAGTGACTTAAGACTGTGTGGTTACTATTCCATCCAAGAAAAAGCTGACTCAGTATAATGTACCTTGATAAGGAATGCTGTTCTGCTTTCTACAAAGTAACAAGTATGTAATACATAAGTACATAAACATTTTAAAAACTGTTTTTAATAGGTTTATGATGCAAAATACATATTCTGTGCCTGTTGCTTTAAAACATCCCGTATCACTGATTCCTGTAAGAATATATCAGACATTCTGTATTTAAATATTCTGTCAGATATACACCATCCAGCTATTCAGAAATATTGGTTAATTTGAATTTGCCATGTATTGACATTATATTTCATTGGGCTTTGTTTTACGAGTTTTATTAATAATTCAATTCTTAAAGTCCGCTAAGTCTAGTATGAAACGCCATGGAAAATGAAGAAAATGATTTTATTCATCAAATATGAAGTAAAAATTATTTTCCATTCTTTAATATTCTTGCTGCAGTTTTTTCAGATGCACAATCTGCTCCTGCAAGCTATACCATACTTGGGGGGAACTCATATTTTGCCTGCAAAACAGTTACCATCCCTCTATATGCAAAGTCCAGCCTCTCCCACTCCAAAGGAGGTACTCAAGGAAGGCCACTTGGTTGTCATTATTCACAGGCTTTGATATTCACCATCCGTGGTAATTTACTACAATAATCTATTAACCAAAATAGTCTTCTAAATCACTTCTTGTTTGTTTAGGGTTGTCTTGAGCATAATCCCCCCCAAAGAGGATGAATAACCAACACAAAGAGTGGTTCTGTGTCTCTGAACCCAATTTCTGAGGATGTTCAGAACAGAAACTCCAATCTCTCTTCTGGTTCTACAAGGATTAACCTCTAGAGCTGCAGTTTGAGCTCAATACTGCTTCATTTTGCTTACTGTTAAAGATGTAAATAGAATTAACAGGTTTAGATTTTATAAAGGGAAAGAAAAGAATCTACCTTTTGTTCTCATATTAACAACACCTGTAAAACGGTAGTTTCTCCAGGCTATTTTTTGGCATATGGCTTTGCAATAACTATCCTTCAGGAATCTTCTTGGGTCTAATGTGAACTCTGGCACGTTCTCATACTGGTTAGAATATCTGTAAAATATCACATAGAAAACTTTCATCTCACTTTCTGACAACTATCTAGGATCACTTAGGTTCAAGTTGAGTCCTCAAAGAGCAAATGGGTATTACCTCCTAAGCAGTGTATGGCTAGATGGACTAGCTGAGCCCCTGTATTGAGGCCATGTTTCCACACACTGTTTAATTTAAAAAAAAAAATCAATTTATCGAAGACGTCCTCTTTATTTTAATAGTTGGTAATATTTTATTAATGGCATGTGATGCATGGAACTCTTTAAAAAAATCAACAATTTTTATGCTTGAACCATTTTAATCCATAGACTATCTCTATGCAAAATTACTTGCAGAACAGATTTTCATTGTCCTTAAAATTATTTGCAGTTAGAAGAAAACCTTGGGCCTAATTCAACACCCTTTTTGGCAGTAGGTGGGGAAATGGGGAAGCTCTGTCCCATATTCATTTCATTTTCAAGTTAGCACCCTTGACAGCATGTCAGTATCTTCAGCTTTTAGTGATCATATATATTTTTTTGTGACTTTATATTTTGTTATTAAAAATAATCATTTACTATATTTGCAGCTAGATAACATAGTACTTGATGAAAAACAATAGCACTTCAGTTCATTTGGACTCACTTTCTATTTACCTTGCACTAATGTAAATGGCTTATTCCCTATCCTAATAACTTGCTCTAGGGATGCATATAGAATAGCATATTGACAAATTTTGCTATTTCACGATGCAATCATACAATATTTTTTGAGAAAATTTTTGTGTACTTATCCTATAATGGACCACACAGTTGAAGTATTGTTTTTTTTATATCTCCTGCTGCTTTGTCAATTGGAATAGTCAGCCAAAGGAAAAATGATAAACAGTAGACTTGGAGTCTTAAGCAAATTTTTCATTCTCAGTTTTGTATTTGTGTTGAAACAGATCTGCTAGAGACCACTTGCTTAACAAATGGATGGCACACACTCAGGGTCATCAGATATAAAATCAAATTCCAGCATACTAAGAAAGTAAAGAATACATTTGACAGAAATTACCTTTGCTTACAAAATTTATTACGTACAATCTGCATATTTTTATTGGACCAATAACTGTCCTCTCCATTTACAAAAACCAAAGAGAAACCTGACGGATAAGTAATATTCCCCTCAACCTCCTGTAAGTGTAACATGTGTAGTTCCAAGTTTTTAACGCTTATCTCAAGGTCCTGGGTCTCCACTTACATTACACTCTATTCACTGTTGTTATCAAGCTAAAGCAAAGAAAAGCAAATTAAGTCTGTAGTTTTCACCAAGAGGTTGAAGGAATCATCAATGCCAAAAGCAACGTTACTGATGACGAGGACGTAGAAAGAGTGTGGAGGGATTCCCCTCAACCTCCTGTAAGTGTAACATGTGTAGTTCCAAGTTTTTAACGCTTATCTCAAGGTCCTGGGTCTCCACTTACATTACACTCTATTCACTGTTGTTATCAAGCTAAAGCAAAGAAAAGCAAATTAAGTCTGTAGTTTTCACCAAGAGGTTGAAGGAATCATCAATGCCAAAAGCAACGTTACTGATGACGAGGACGTAGAAAGAGAGTGGAGGGTTGACTGAGCACTAGTGATTTTCCCACCTGTGGAAAAGAGAAGCATTATATGGACAAAATTATTTTGGTTTTGCCTGAGCTAGAAAAGAGTTGTTTTAGGTATGTTAAGATAAATGAATGCAACATCAATCCTCTTTCTGATGACAACGTTCCTTGTGTTTATGAAACAAGATGTTGTCTGGGGTTCTCAAAAGGTATATGGAGGGCAGAAGTGTATATGGAATATTGTGTTAAAAAGGCTGTGTCATGTCAAACAGATACACCTCATCAGGAGATTCAGTATAATTTTCAACATGATGCACTGATGGAAAATATCTCAAATTCCAGGTATGAAAATAAAATAATTTCTATAGTGCACAGTTCAGGAAATGGAGTAAAAATAATTAGCAAAAGTTTGTGGCAACAAGAATTCATAATTTACTTTTTTTTAAGTAAATTTTTAAATTTAATAATAAAATATTAATTTATTTAATTTACTTATGGGTCCTTGATTGATTTGGCTGTTTCAATTGAGCAGGCTTAAATTATAGGTTCTCATGCCAAACTTGGTAAAGAAGAGGCATCTTTCATTAATCTTACCTCTACCCAGGAGAAGTTCTTCCTTCTTGAGACAAAAGCGTTGTATACAGTTAATGTATTAGGGTCGTTGCTTGATTAAACTCACTGATTTGAATGTATTAGTCTGAAGAAGTTTTGATAGCTCCATAAATTCACAAACTAAGTACAACCCTTAGACCTAACTTCAGGAATGGTTCTTCAAGCCAGAGGTCTTTGGAAGTATCATCATCATGATTGATATTTAATGAATGCTTATTATATGCCAAGTACTGTACAAAGCCCTTCATACATGTTATTTAATTTGATCTTCACAACATTCCTATGTAGTAAGTGCTATTATTTATCCTGGTGTTGCAGATGGTACCAGGGCTTAAAAAGATTATAGAAACTTGTTTAAAGTCATTGAGCTAGGAATTAGTGGAAAGAGATGCTCTTATATGTTGTCTCTATTAAAACAATGATTGGTCTTGATTAAAACTATGATAGACTAATAATAAAATGTATGAATTGATTTTTGGAATTATTCTTCTGTCACGTTATCCTTTCTGACCAGACTGAGTGTAACAGGATTCTGTGTGTGATTTTTCTTACAGGATAGAGTCTAAATTTATTTTTCAGATGCTTAAGAGCTAAAGAAACTTTTGTTTGGTAAACTAAACATATACACACTCTAAAAGCAGCAAATCTTCTTTCCTTTGAAAACTGTTACAGCTAAGGCACTAATAAAAGCTATTATTCAACATATTGGGGAGTGTTACATACATTTCAACTTGTACAAAATGGGGTCATTGTGAAGTGCATGGCCACACATGAGCTATAAGAAAGGCATGATGACAAAGCCTCACTGGAGTGGTATGTGCATGCTTAATAAATGACTGTGAAAACATTCTTTCTGTTTATTTGAGAGTGGCTGCATCCTTGTTAAGTCAACGTACATGACATTTTTACAAAAAAACCCTCACTTTCATAATGCTAAGTAGGATCTATATCTCAAATTCCACATAGAATCCACAAAGCAAAAATATGCTAATTCAGCATAGCAAAACAAAACAAAACAAAACACAAACAACAACAAACATTGGACTAATTTCTAGTCCCAGATATAAAACTAACTAACTATTTCACTTGAGCAGGTCATTCAACTTCTTAGGCTTTTGGTTTTTGGAAAAAGATAAGAATGAAATCAATCATTGCTCATGTTTTATTGGTCTAAGAAAATACCATGAGATTTCACTTCATTAAAACTCAGGAAATGGGTTGTACTGGCCAAAGTGTTTTATTAACTAAAACATAAAAGTTGATAATTTTTTTTTTATGGAATAGAAGTTACAAGTTAATTAAAATATAAATGGGAGAATCAAGGTGTTTGTAAGTACTTTCAATCTTGGAGGTGATATTATTTGGATGATACTTTAGAATCTGATTGTGTTACAGTTGAAAGGAACCTTGGAGAGCCAGAGAATAATAAAATACTTAACTCATAAGTTTGCTAGGAGAATAAAATAAAATGACATATAGAAGACAGCTAGCACAATGCAAAGAACATGACCAGAGTGCAGTAAATGCTCTTTGTACTGTTGTTATTAGAAATTTAAGACTTATCAAGCAGGCAGAGAGTTGTCATCTTTTTCACTTTTCAGAAATAATCTTTAGTTCTTCAATGTGCTCTTGAAAATCTGAACATTTCAATTGTGAATGAATCAGTGTAGAGACATTATTACCTTTCTTGCTCTTGAAACTATAATTTTATAAATAAATCATAAAGTGTATTAAATATTGTGTGGTCACAATGTATTTAAGTTCTCAGGTCTTTTCACCTGAATTTCTGAAAAAGTCAGATTTTCTGTATCGTGTGATTTTTATTTTTAAATGTTCATTTTGAAATAAGTTTAGATGCACAAAAAGGAGTGAGAATAAAATAAAGAATTCATCCATATTCCTTAAATGTTTATGTTTTATCTTCTTGCTCTATTATTCTCTGTATAAATACATACGTTTATTTCTTGAACCATTTGAAAGTAAGTTGAAGACATGAGGTACCTTTACCCCTAAATACTTCAATGTGCAGATCCTAAAAATAAGACATTTTCTTGAATACCACAGTACAATTTTTAAAAACAGGAAATTAATGTTGATATAATATTATCTAATTTACAGACATTATTCAAATTTATCAATTGTCCCAATAATGTCCTTTATCTCATCTTATATTTTTATGCAAGAATTTACTTACCAAGTATTATGGCAACAGCTTTTCCTCAAAGTTTCAGTCTATCATATTATTTTCTCCACTATGTTTTCCTTCTATCTCACTTTGTGGCATCAAAAAATAAATCATAAGAAATGCCTCTGGTCTTAACCTAAGCTGAGCAATACATTGAAGATAATAAAGCCACATTCAGAGTTCTACAGAATATCATTGGATACTTCCCTTTAGGTTGATACTTCTGCTTGAGAATGACTGCTCAATAAATAATATTCATAATTACCTATTAATTAAATGTACATTAAACATTTTTATACAAGGCCTTAATGAAAATTGCCCAATATTTTCTCAATGAGACATTTGTTTAATGAAATATTTTCCTTTCTTTTTTGACTATCTCAATGAAATGACTACTTTCTTCTGAATTTGTAAAAATCTCCCTTCCTTTAATCAGTTTTCTCTTGCTGGTGTAATAATGATGGCAGTGGGGTTGAATCTTGGTTCTTCCACTTAGTAATAGTGTGATCTTAGGCAAGTTACTTAAATTTTCTCTGTAAAACAAGAATAATGCAACCCACCTCATAGATTGTTAAGAGGATTAAATAAGATGATGTAAGTAAAGCACTTATGACCGTGCCTGACTTATAGCAAGGGCTCAGTCAAAGCTAGAAATTATTAATATTACTAATAATAACAATGGTGCTCAAATAAGTTCTAGAGATCTAATATATAACATAGTGATTGTAATTAATAAAACTGTAATATATACTTGAAAGTTGTTAAGAATGTAGATTTTAAATGTTCTCACTACAAAAAAGAAATAGCAGTTATATGATGTGATGGAGGTATTAGCTATATTTTTGCAATAAATCTGTGTACATATTTGCAATATACAAATGTATCAAATCAACTGTTGTACACCTTAAACTTATACAATGCTATATGTCAATTATATTTCAATAAAGCTGGAAAAAGAAAAAAAACCCAAAACAAAGATATTCAATGAAATTTATAATTTATTTTGAAATCCATAAACACAATCAAATTTTAATTTATAAAGCATTCCCTTTAACCTTTCCTGTCCCTCACTTTCCATTATCTAATGATAAAGGCAATCATGATAATAGAGAAATGGGTATAATATATTAAATTAGTGCAATACTGGTTAAAAGCAATATTGAAAAGCACAAATTACCAGCCACTTGAGATCAGGATAGACAGGGGAATTTCACAAATAAAAATATTTTAATGAAAATGTTAACTCTTTTCTAGATCTGTAGAAATTCCACAGCTGTGAGTGGGCTGCCATGGTTTGTATTAATTGGAGGATCATATAGCAAATCAGAGTAAAATAAGAGAAACTTCAAAGTCTCTGAATCATGCAATCCATCGTGTTAATTTTGATGAGTTTTACACCATCTTAATATTGTTAGTGTTTATCAAATTAAGCCTATTGTGTCAAAACTTACCTGAATATGATGAGACCCTGATTTGGGAGCTAGCTGTTCCATCCCCTCCTTCACTGCATGCTCGAACTTCAATAATATAGACTCCAGCATCAGGGAGTGGGATTACTGCTTGAGGTTTCTGTGTTTCAATAATTTGACTGTTGCTGTGACCCTCTTGCCTATAAAATACCTGGGAACAATATCACATGTTTAAACATTTGATATTCAATCAAGGATTTCAAATGTTTATTGACTGCCTTCTGTATGTCACATTCTGAGCTAGGTACAGGGAGCTTACAGCTTAGACAGATATGTAAGCAAATGCAATGTATGTGTTATATGCAGCAACGGAATATACATAAGGGGCTATGGGAATACAAAAGAGAGAGTTTAATTCTGTCTGGTGGTTTAAGGAAGGTTCTTAGGAGAAGGTGATGCTGAGTTAAGTATTTAAAGATAAGTAGAGTTCACCAGTTGGAAAAGGCAGGAAAAAAAGTCTACAAAGAGATAAGAGAAGATTAAAAATACATCTAAGCAATAAGAAAGCAATAGCATTAGAAGACGTTTGGGAATAGTGAGAAATTGAGGCTAGAGAAGTAGGTAGTGAGGGGGCAGATCATTGAAAGTCTGTTATTCCTGGTTCTTGAAATGAATAGCATTCTGAGGGAGTACTCAAAGCTGTCATCTTTAAATCATTTGAAAGGAGTAATCAGAAAATTTGTTAAATACATCAATAATAAATCCTTAACAACGTAGAAGATAGCTGAAAGCTTAAAATTATATTGAGTATTTTTATTTTTACTTTTGTGTTTGCCTTTTGGTAAATTGGCATTTGGATATATTGGGTAGCCAAGTTAAGTGTTTTTTGACATCTGTCCATGGTACTAGAATTGAACATGTATTCATGGCAAACAGAGTTTTATAACTACAGATTAGGACACAGAATTATCCTGTGTTTACAGGTCAGAAAACTAATGTCATAGAGATTATACGATTTATACAAGAGCATATGGCTAGCTGTAGAAGAAATTGCATTGGAAGATTAATATTCAGATGATCAGTTCAGAGGTGTTTCACTGTATTATACTGTTTCTACTCACTTGCCCCCAATAACTTTGTGTGTGTGTGTGTGTGTGTGTGTATAATGGTCAAGTAGCAGCAGTTAAGATTTTAAATGCATTTGCATTGTTTCATTGTTTTAGTGCTTTATCATAATTGTATTATGATTGCTTTGCATAATGGAGAGAACAATGGCTTTGCATTCTCACAGATCTGAATTCAAAACAATCTCCTACAAAACAAAACAAAAAACAATCTCCTACACATTCCTGTCTGAGCAAATTTGAGCAAGTTACTAACCTTTCTAAATCTGAAGCGCCTGTACTGTATAGTAGAGATAATAACACCTATTTCATGGTTTTGTTAGGAAAATGCATGTAAAATGCCTAGCACAGGACCTGGTAAGCTTAATAAGAGAAAGCGACTTTTTTTGTCGCTATTATTGTTCATTGTCAATCGTCAGTATTTCATTTGCATCATAAAAGATGAACCTCCTTGGGAGACTAGACAAAAATATAATACTTTTTGTTTATTAAAAATGTGTTTTGGGCTTCCCTGGTGGGGCAGTGGTTGAGAGTCCGCCTGCCCATGCAGGGGACACGGGTTCGTGCCCCGGTCTGGGAGGATCCCACGTGCCGCGGAGCGGCTGGGCCTGTAAGCCATGGCCGCTGGGCCTGCGAGCCCAGAGCCTGTGCTCCGCGACGGGAGAGGCTGCGGCGGTGAGAGGCCCGCGTACCGCAAAAAAAAAAAAAAAAAAAAAAAAAAAAAAAAAAAAAAAAGAGAAAAAC